CCGCGCCCCGCACGCTCCTGCCCCCGGCCCCGGCTCGAGCGCGCCATTATGTACTCGTGCGCTCCTCGTGTCGTGTCCGCTTTTGACTCGAGACATATTGTTCTACGACAAAATACTTTTATATATATTATTAGTTAGGTTTTTAACTGAAACTTATGTACTGTTAACTGAAAACCTTAGTACAGGTGACTACATATATTTAAGAAGGAGGCAAGGATAGGAAAGAGAGCCTACAATAGGAAGGAAATGAAAAATATGCACTTATTATATACACAATATATACATACAGTATAAAATGTGTAAGAATTTTTTGCAGTGCAATAAAAAGTCCAGTTCGTTAGCTTGGGAAGGCTAACCGGCGAAAGTTGTAAGTTGTTTTAATGAAGGCGTCTTCAGTCGCCGCTCATCGCGCCGCCGCCGCCGCCGCCGCCGTCAACCTTACAGGATCGCGGCTAATGAAGCGCGGCTGTGTACTGTGCGCGCCGCCCCGCCTCACTCCGCAAGCGAAAAACTTTTACGAAAATCTTCTTAACGCAGCCGCATACCATTAAGGTGGACGTTAATAGCAAATACCTTTTTTAAGCGCATTTCAAAACATTTTGTCAAAGGCTGACAAGACACTTTTTAACGAGAAATATAAAAATCGGAATGGGTTATTATTTTTAAAAATTTTTAACCAGTGCTCTCACACATTTTTAACCGAAGTAAGGGTATACACGAACATACTTTCACATGAATTGCTAATCGTACAGCGCCGACTGAACCGAAGGAGTATGCAGACTGTTGTCTGGACTGATAAATATAAAAGATTTGTTTAAATAACGCAGAGTGTATGTGTGTGTGAATGTACATACATATATGTATTTATGTTCATTAAGCAGTCTGTGTTGAGTTCATACATAGCTTATGGTTATGAGAGTGAATTACTGAAACTGAGCTAGGCGATGTTGCTATTGTTATGGAATGGCGAGGGCGATGGCGATTGCGATGGCCGAGTGCAGCCTCACGCCGCGCTCACTCAGCTTAACGTCCACTTGAGTGGTTCACATCAAATAACATCAAATACTTTTACTTTCCTGAGCGAACCAGTAACACCGCAAAGCCCTCTGTAGTATTCATTATAGAGTCATTATCGTATTGTATTTGTTTGCAGACAATTATTCACATTTCTTATAAATTAAACATTTTGTGAATAAATCGTCGTGAAATATTATTTAATACTGTGATTTGTAAATCAGTCGAGGCTGCAAGCGAACTGCAACTCTATTATTGAAAGAATGCGATGCAAAGTTGTTTGGGAGGGAGATATTCAAATCAAAGGTTCACCGACAATTATTTAGATGAATTCATTTAGGGAAAGGTAAAGGCTTAGCGTCGGGACGCACTCCCCGCACTCCCCGCACTCCCCGTCAAGCATTCGATATACAACATCAACAACAAATATTGTTGAGTATTTCCTCTTGTATACATTCAACAAATACGTAGGAAACCAGCAGTGACTCGTTAGTCAAGACCACCTGCTTTTTATAAGTTTGGTAGCAATGAGA